CAGGGGCTGCGGTGGAGCCCAGGACCCAGTGTCACTTAGGGGCTGGGGCAAGGGCAGTGCTTGGCCGAGGTGCGGATTTTTCGCTGACAGCGGACGGTCCTGGGGATGAGAACTTGCCGAGGAAGGGGGCGGGAGTGCAGGCCGGACCCCGGGAGCGGTCGCCTCATCCGGGAGACCAGCGAGGAGCTGCTGCACACGCCGCAGGAGGAGCGTGTGTGTGGTCGGAGGCCCCGTTCTCCCCATGAGGCACAGGCCCTGGGCGTGGGAGGCAGCAGGCGGGAGTCGGGCTCCCGAGGACCCCTGGCTCCCGGTGCTGGGTGCCGGGTTGCTTGCGGCCAGGGTGTGCCAGCTGGTGAATCCCGTCTCGCTCCCGTGTGCGGCGGTGAAGTTGCAGTTAATATAGTAAGGCCTGTTTCTCAGAAACCGGCTCCAGAGTTTACAGTTCCGGTGCTGGCACGGCTCTGAGTGGTCCTACCTAGCCACGCCCTCCTGTGATGGAAGGTGAGAACTGGAGCCCGGGACCTGCAGGTGAGCTGGGCGGAGCCTCCCGAACCCCGGGTCTGTGGCCAGCGGCGTGGCCCACAGTGGCGCTGTCTTGAGGAGATGGTGGGTCGCCTCCCCTTATCCCCAAGCAGTACCTGGGACTCCCAGGGGTGCCAGAAATAGCCTTGCAGGTAGTGCCAAACCCTGGGAGTACATACGTATTAGGTGAAGCTTAGTTTATCGATGGGGCACAGTAAGATTTAACAGTAATGGCTAATAAAATAGGATACTGACAGCAATACACTGTGGCAGAAGTTATTGTAACCATGTGAATTGTTTCTGTTTTCCACATCCTGCCTGAGCCACTGTTGGTTGTGGGAAACTGAGGCTGAAGATAAGGGAAGCGCTGGGGCGGGTCAGGGCGTTCTCTGGGCAGCGGCCGCTCTCTGGAGATGCCGGGACCCCGGCTTTGCCAAGTCCGCGTCCCGCTGTGCTGGCACGCGCGGTGTGGTGGGCCTGCCCTCTTGGGAACCCCCCCCCCATCCCCAGTGGGATTCTGCCGGGAGGGCGTCGCCCTCCGCCGTCTTCTGCCAGTCCCGGCCTGACTGGATCCACGGCCGCCCCAAGTGCCTCTGGGAGCTTCCAGGATGCTTTTCCTCTCCTTCACCTGCCCTGTTCTTGGCATGGCCACGCCCACCCCTGGCCAGGACTAACTTCCTCCCTCTCCCCACGCAGCTCAGTGCTGGGTCGGCGCTCCCTCAGGGTCCTGACGCGCAGCCGCCCCTTCTGTCCCTTACGGAGTCCTCGCCTGGCTGTGTCTGTCCCGGCGCTGCGTTCAGTAAGCCACCCCTCCGCCTAGTTCCTGCACGTCGCTGTTGGGCTGATTTCCTAGTAATGAAGTCTGGGCGTGCAAGGATTTCCTGGGCTGTATCTCCACAGCCCTCATCCGACTGTTAGTGTGGCACTGAGTGTTCCTGCTACGGGGGCCTCCAGTGTCTCGGCGGTGGGCTTACGGCCTGCCTTTTCATTAGGCGCAGATCTGGCTGTTAGGAAGTTCTTACTGCCGTTGAAGCAGAATAGTTCTCTAGTGCTTGCTCGATGGGTGTAGTGTCTTCCTGACTCTTTCTGCAGATAAGAAGTTTGTCTGAGGTCTCTTTTGTTTGGGATCTGTCGTGTCTCAGAAGTCAGCTGCTGTGAGGCCGGCCTCCCGCACGGGTCCCGTGGGTCTCGAGCGTCCCTCCGTGTCCATAAAGGTGACACTGGACGTGGCAGTACTGGTGGCGTGGGTGTCCCCAGCAGTGAGGTCGCTGTGGCACCGTAGCGACTGTTGTGCCTGGGAGCAGTGAGCTGCCCTGCAGAGCGTGTGCAGGGCTGGAGCGGAGGAGGGTCTCCTTGCGGTCCCTGCCCCTCAGGAGGGGCCATTCACAAGGCGTCTGATTACTCAGTGAGACGTGGCAGTGGGCTTTGGGCTGTCCCAGGGCTTGTTCGGCTTCTCCGCCACGCCTCCTGTCGCAGGGCATCCACTCGTTCCGAGCTTGCTGGATCCCTGCTCAGGTCTGAGCCGGCCGCCCCCAGGCCTCTGTGCAGCTTGAGCTGCAGTCGCAGAGCACTGCTCTGTTCCTTGATTTTCCGTGTCTGCTGTTGTGGACTTCCTGGACAACCTCGTTAAGTCACTCGGAATCTGTAGATAGCGAGACTGTGAAGTCCTCGCGGGTATGAAAATACCTGACTTTGCCATCACTGGAATAATGGTTCAGTTGGGTATGAAACCCTTTGGTTCAAAATAAATACCCTTTAGGATTTTTATTGCATTTTCAATTTTCTTCCTGCAGTCTAGGGTTAGTAGAAGCTTGATAATTTGATGATTTATTTTTCTGAAAAAAGGATTTGTTTATTTCTTTGAAAGGAAGATTAATACAGAGAGAGGGAGAATGGAAGAGAGAGAGAGAGCGCTTCTATTTGGTGGTTCACTCCCCAGGTGGCTGCAGCAGCCAGGACTGGGTCAGGCCACAGCCAGGAGCCAGGAGCTTCATCCTGGCCTCACACGTGGGTGGCAGGGGTCCAAGCACTTAGGCCACCATCCACTGTCTTCCCAGGCACATTAGCAGGAAGCTGGATTAGAAACTGCATGGGGCTGATACTGCGGCTTACGTGGTTAAGCCACCGCCTGTGGCACCGGCATCCCACGGGAGCTCTGACTGAAGTCTTGGCTGCTCCACTTCCGGTCCAGGTCCCTGCTGATGCGTCTGGGAAAGCAGTGGAGGATGGCTCAAGTGGGTGGGCCCCGCACCCACGTGGGAGACCTGGATCTGGACTTCATCCTGGCTCGACTCTGGCTGCTGCAGCCGTATGGGGAGTGAACCAGTGGGTGGAAGACTCTCTTCTGTAACGCTTTCAAATAAATAAATAAATAAATCTTTAAAAAAAAAAAAAAAGGAGGGAGGGAGGGAGGAAGCAGTGAACAGAGCAGCAGGATGGAAGCCGCTCTGCGTTGCGGGGTGAGGCGAGGCGCGCAGCGGGCAGGATGCCTGGCCCGGGTCTCTGTGGGCGCTCTCCACTCCGCTTTCCCTCGCTGTTCCCAGCTTCTCTTGCTCAGAGCAGTGCAGTGTCCCGAGAGCAGGGTTGGGCGTGAGCGCTCTGGGGACCTTCACCCGGCCTGTCCTGGGAGGAGGTTTGGTTCCTCCGTGCTGGTTCGACGTTGGGACCCTCAGTGTCGGCTGTCTTTCAGCTTCTTTCTCTTTTTGCTTTTGTCCTGGAGGCTTTTCCCCGACTTTGTCTTCCAGGCGTTGGAAACACTGAGTTTTTCTTTTTTTTTTTTTTTTAATTTTTTTTTACAAGAGAACAAATCCACTTTTATTTATTTACTTTTCAATAGTTTAAATCCTTGAGGGGTACAGCATCACACGGATTCTGTGTCCAATGGCCCTCGCAGGAAGGTTGCTTCGGAATTTGGCACGAACCACGCCACTGTTTCCGTGAGCACGAGTTACCTTTCCCCAGGTTACTCTGGTTTTGTTAGGTTTGCCGCCAGGAGTCACTGTGGTGTTCTTTGCTTTGTACACATAAGCACACCTCTTGCCCAAGTAGAATTCAGTTTCCTCCCGAGCATAAACACCTTCGATTTTAAGCAGTTGCCGTGTGTTCCCTTTGGTTCCGGAGACCTCGCTTATAGCTAGCAAAAATGGCCTTGCACCACAGTCTTCCAGACATAGCTGCCTTCTAGAAGTCCTGCTCCCTGCAGGCCTCCACAGTCTCCAAGATGGCCATTGAGTTTTCTATCTGTGGAATTTTAAAATTCCAGCAGTGGAAGTCCGAGGTCCAAGAACTCTCCCCTTTTCAGAAGATGACTGCTGCCCCAGGCTGCGCTGGTGTTCCGTCCTTCCGCGCGTGTCCCGTGTCCTTGTCACTTCTGCAGTTGTGCGTCCCCCATTGCTGCCTTTGGCCCAGAGATGATCTGTTCCCCCGCTCTGCTTTCCACGCCCCGGAGACGCAGCTGCGGGTGTTCCCTGGGGCGGTGCTCGGGCAGTGGGGTGCCCCCTCGCACGCCGGAGTACCTGCATCTGAGTCCCACATCCGCCTCTGAGCCCAGCTTCCCGCTGATCTGCACCTGGGAGGCCGCAGGTGTGCACGCGGTGGCTGTGTCTGCACCCGTGTGGGTGAGCTCCTGGCTCCTAGCTTCTCTGGAACGTGAACTGGTGGATGTGAGATCCCACTCTCCGTATGTCAAAGTCGTAATTTTTTTTTTAAATGAGCACTCAGATGCCTAGCTCATCCTCCAATTAAAAAAATAAATAAAGCTTTGTGCCTTCATGCTGCCAGTTAAGTGTTCTTCCTGTCACGTGACAGCTGTTTTGGAGGAAGGGGAGGTGAGTGAGTGGACTTGGCCGTCTGCCGTCACCGCCTCCCTCTGCGCTCCCGTCTAGAAGGTCGCCTCAAACCCGACTTGGGTAGTTACTATTTTGGAACAAAGTGGCACCAGTAAAAGCTGCTGCCCACATCGGGCTTCTGATGTTTTGAGTGAATTTCCAGAAGACCGGTCAGTGGCCACCCTGAGGGAGAGCGGGGTCCCCGTGCAAACCAGGAGGCCTCCCGCGAGCTCTGGGTCCTCACGTGGCTCCTGGGCACAGCGGGGGAGGAAGACCCCTCTGCCACAGCTGGCAGTGGCCTGGAAACCTCTGGGCGCAGCCCCCAGCCCCTCTCTCGGCTCCCCTTTCACTGGGCCTGTAGTATGCGGATGGTGGTCGGACCTTGTGGCCTCCCCTGTGGCTGGGTTGAGAGGGTCCTCAGGCCTCCTCCAGGATTTCACTGGGAAGACCCCTCAGCAGCACCCTGGGGGAGGGGCCCAGGGAGCCCCTGGCGGGTGCTGCAGGGGTCCCCCTTGTGCCCAGCCCCCCGCCTGCCCTGCCTGCACAGCCATCACTGTCTGATGACCCCCTGCCCCGTGCGTGCATTACGTTCTCAGTGAGCTCTGACTCAGCCCAGGAGGAAACAGTGAACGCTGTCGTCTCTGTCCCTAGATTACGTCTTCCCAGACCTCACCGAGAAGGCAGGTTCCGTGGAAGACGGTGGCCAGGCCCAAGAGCTACCGAGCCTCCCCTCGGGCTTGCCCAAGATGAATCTCGTTGAGCCCCCCTGGAGTATGCCTCCTGAAGAGGAGGAGGAGGAGGAGGAGGAGGAGGAGAGGGAAAAGGAAGAGGAGGAGGAGGAGGAGGAGGAGGAGGAAGAGCTGCTTCCCGTGAGCGGCTCCCAAGAAGAAGCCAAGACTCCTACCCACGACGCTCCTCCCACCAGCAGCCGCCAGACACCAGGGGCCACCACACCCAGGCCCGAAGGCCCCGGGGACCAGGCCTCGTCAGGCGCGGAGGTGGAGAACAGCGTGGAACCCAGCCTGTCACCACCCTCTGTGACCCCGAGTTCACTGACCCTGGGGGATCGGGACTTCACCAGCCAGGAGGCAGGGGCCACGATGCTGCCAGCTGCGGGGCTTGGGGTGGAGTTTGAGGCTCCCCCAGAAGCCGCGGAGGAGGCCACTGTGGGGGCAGCTGGGATGGCTGGCAGGCCAGGGGCAGAGCTGGCCTCGGCGCCGTTCCCTCATACCGGAGCTCCCAGTGGGGCTGAGGCCCTCGATGAAGGTCACCCTCACCCGAGGACCCCAGCCTCTTTCCCACTGGCCCCCCGAGATGTGGAGCCCACGCCCTCCTCTGCTTCCTCGGGCCCAGAAGATCTCAGCCAGCAGCCGCAGCCGCAGCCAGGGCAGGCGGTGGAAGCGCCATCCAGAATACCCTGGGACTCCACTCAGGTAAGCGCAGGTGCAGCCCAGCCGCGCACGGGCCAGCGTGGCGAGGTGGTAGCACCTGCCGGCCAAGGAGCCCCGGCCACTCACACACGGAGACCGTGGCTGAGCTGGGGGGGCGGGTCTGGCCCGGTTTCCGTTTGTTCCCTGCGACCCCCGTTTCTCCCAAGCACGTGCACCCCCGGACAGCGCGAGGGAGGGAAAGGTGTCCCAGGCGCTCAGCCCGTGTGTGTGTGTGTGTGTGTGTGTGTGTGTGGCCCAAAGAGCCTCGGAAAGCAGCTTTGCTGTTGAAGTCCTGCTGCCGGGCGCCCTCTGCAGTCAGCTGCTTGACGCAGGCCCCTCTGCCTGCTCTCGCTCAGACTCCCGGCTCCTGGGCCTGCCTGTGCAGACGCTGGCAGCCCCGCTCGGCATGGAGAGCCTGTGCTGGCTTCCGCCCAGGGCGCTCTCCCCGACGCCCCTCCTGCTGCCCTCCTCACCGTTGCCCTTCCTTCTGTCTCATTGGACAGGTGATCTGCAAGGACTGGAGCAATCTGGCTGGGAAGAGCTACATCATCCTGAACATGACTGAGAACATAGACTGCGTGAGTGCTGGGCCAGGCTCTGTCAGCAGGGATGGGGCGGGGCGGGGCTTAGTCCTTAGGGAGGAGGGCCGCCTGCACTCCCGCCTACAGAAGAGGCGTGCTCTCCTAGCGAGATCCCGCCTGCCTCCCTTGACCCCCAGAGTGGTTGTTTCGTTCCCTGCGCAGCGTCTTCGCTCTGACAGTGTGGGACTCTTCCTGCAAGGTGTTTGCTCCCTGCCTGGGTGGTTTCCACCTTTGCTTTGGTCTCGGCTGTTTGATTTACGCTGTTTGTTTTACGCACTCGCGTCTCTGAGTGAGGTGACGGAACCTGGCTAGGAGCTGCGAGCTGGGGCGTGGGAACGCCCCATGCAGCACCGCCCTTCCTCCTGGCGAGGTCATGGTCTTTGCAAGGAGCTTGTGTCCCCCTGGCTGTCCTGTTTCTAGGAGCCAGGGTGGGGCAGAAGACAGGGTGAAGCCGTGTGCATCAATGTTAATATGCATGGCACCCCGCCCCCACAGCCAGGCCCGGCGCCCTCAGGTTAGAAACCATCTCTCGCAGTCTTCATCCAGGGACGAGGGCCGCTGTGCAGCCCTGGGAGGGGGCTGGGATCCAGCGGCTGCCCACGCAGACCCAGCACGGCGTTCATGCCCTCCCGCAGAGGGGACCGGGGCTCGGTGCTGCTGCTCCGGGGCGCACAGCTCACGGCTGCACGGTGTTCCCCGTTTGGGCTTAGGGTGCAGCTCTTCACGGCATGTCAGATCGGGAAATTCTCATCCCTCCGCTTCCAGGATCCATGTTCTGTGGCTCCTATGGCTTGGTGCTGGCCTTGGCGGTTTGAGACCCTGAGCCCTTGGCTCGTGCTCAGCGGGTTGAGGGAGGGGGACGGGCATCGTCTACGCGAGGGCCAGCCGGAGGCTCGTGTCCTCCCCACAGCGTCAGTAGAAGCTGCGGGCTCCCCAGAACGCGTGCGTTCCTTCCTCTTGCTGGTGCTCGATCCCTCGCTTGTGGCCAGCGAGGTCCTCTGTGCATTGGCCGCTGCGTCCTTGGTCTTCTCGCCTCGCGGTGCGGCAGGACCCTGCCTCGTGTCCCTGCCCCAGGCGGGAGTCCGCGCTGCCCTCGGCGTGGACAGTGGCTCCTGGCCGCCACGGCCTGCGCACGGGGCTCTCTCAAAGCTTCGGGACGCGTGTTGAGCAGTCGAGGCTCAAGCGTGTGTCTCGGTTTCCACACGGTGCCTAGATACTGAATCGCTTTTATTCTATTTTCCTTATTTTTATGGTGGATTTTTTATTGTGGTATAAAACACAGAACATAAAACCTGGCATTGACCGTTTCTAAGGTCAGCAGTGTCAAGCGCATTCACATTGTTGGCAAACAAATCTCTTGAAGCTTCCATTTTCCTTTTTCCTTTTTTTTTTATTAAAGATTTTATTTATTTATTTTGAGAGGTAGGGTTACAGATAGTGAGAGGCAGAGAGAAACGTCTTCTATGCTCTGTTTTACCCTCCAAATGGCTGTGATGGCCAGAGCTGAGCTGATGCCTTCGATCTTTTTTCGGGTCTCCCACGTGGGTGCAGGGGCCCAAGCACCTGGGCCATCATCTTCTGCTTTCTCAAGCCGCAGCGGAGAGCTGGATCAGAAGCGGAGCAACCGGGACTCAAACTGGCGGCCACATGGGATGCCGGTGCCACAGATGGAGGATTAACCTACTGTGCCACAGCACCAGCCCTGAAGTTTCCATTTTCAAAACTGAAATCCTGTAGCTGTCAAGCAACTCCCCACTCCCCCACGCCCAGGCCCTGGCACCCACCTTCCACCTCTTGTCTGTGAGTCTGACTGCGCTAGGTGACCGCACATCCGTGCAGTCAGCGCTGTCTGTCCTTCCGTCTGGCTCGCTTCCCTCGGTTTAAAGTCGTCCGGTTCACCCGTGCTGAGACACGTGTCAGAGTTTCCTTCCCCTTGGAGGCTGCAGAGCACGCCAGCCTGTGCGGAGGGCGCAGTGGGCTCCTCCGTCCCTCCGTCCGTGGACACCGGGGTGGCTTCTGTCTTGTGTCTGTTCTGAACGATGCTGCCGTGAGCTCTCTTGGAGACCCTGCTTCCAGTGCGCTTGAGTCTAGACCCAGAGGCAGGGTGGTAGGTCATTCTGCTTTTAATTCTTGAGACTCCCTCCTGTCTTCCTCGGTGGCTGCACCGAGTCGCAACCCCGCTGGCATAGTGCCAGGGTTGCGGTTGCTCCGCGTCGTCTTTTCTGTCGTCGTCGTTTTTGTGTAGTGGCCGTCCCGACAGATGTGAGGTCACATCTCCCTGCGGTCAGCTGCTGACTTGTGAGGCTGAGCATCAGTCATTATTATTACCGATCCGTGCTGATTCCACTTCTTACTGTTCATCGCAGTTGAAAGGCAGAGAGGCAGACAGAGGTCTCCTGTCTGCTGGGTCATCCCCCGCTGCCCACAGCAGCTGGGCTGGATCGGGCTGAAGCCAGGAGCCTGGGATTGGATCCGAGTCTGCTGCGTGGACGGCAGGGACCCAAGCGCTTGAGCCGTCACCTGCTGCCTCCCAGGGTGCAGGTTCGCAGGGAGCCTGCGCTGGAAGCAGAGCTGGGGCTCGGGCCCAGGCCCTCCAGTATGGGTTGTAGGGGTCCCAAGGGGCGACCTAACTGCTGGGCTGAGTGTGCGCCCCAGTGCTTCTTGGGCTTCATCGGCGAATTTGCAGCATCCTCTCGTTAGCTCCCATGGCCCCTCACACCCCCGCCCCACATGGCTCCAGGCCCTTCTTCCCGAGGGGCCTCCGTCGTGCCTTGCCTGCTGTGTCGTTCATTTTCATGCTTGCTTTTTGTAATTCCGTGTGCTGACGCAATCGCAGACTTACAGAAAGAACGAGGAACTCCCCGGTGCCCCTCGGTCAGTGTTACCGCTTGTGCAGCAGTTTCTCAAATCGCTCGTGAAAAAGTTTTGCCCCTACCTGTAAATACCTTAGTTGTATTTTTTGAAAACAAGAATTTTTTTTTAGTTAACCCTGGAACTGTGATCAGAACCGGGAGATTAAAATAGGCACAGGACTGTCCTCTCAGCGGCTGCCCTGCTTGGACTTCTGCAGCGGCGCCTGTAACATCCCTTGTGGCTTCCTCTGCCCTCGCGCAGGACGCGACCCAGCGTCCGGCGTTGCGTTGGCTGTCGCGCCCCGGGGCCTGCTTCGAGCCGGAGCAGTTCCGCCGCCCTCCTGTGTGTTTAATGCGCTTCGCGTAGTGGAAGAGCCACAGGAGAGCGTGTACCAAAAGTGATGGGGTCTCTGGAGCCCGCGTCTTCAGAAACAGACAGGGAGGGGAGCAGCACGCGCCCCCGGAAAGGTGTTTCCTGATCCAGCTGCGGTCCAGCCGTTCCATCCTCAAGATGGAGAAAAACGAGCAGCTTCCGCTCGTGTTCCTGAGCTCTCAGAGGAAGCTCTGAGATCCTCCCGCCCCAAGAAGACCGCGGCGGGAGGGAGGATCAGGTGCTAGTGGCGAGTGTCACCTCCCAGCTCTAGAAGGCGCTAGAACAGTCCCTGCTGCGGAGGCGTGAGGTTCTAATCCTGTGCCCAGCCCACCAGAGCCAAGTCCCGTGCAAAGACGAGCGGGAGGGAGATGCTGGCCGAGAGAGGGCTGCAGCGCAAAGCACTGGGCAACTGAGTGGGGAGCGCTGGGCGCGTGATGCACCCCCTCCCCCCGGGTGTCCCAGGCTGCTTTGCACTTGCCCCACCCCAGGGAGAGTACAAAGGGGGTGTGCACAGGAAACCTGACTCAGCGTTTCTCCCAGGGGCCCAAGTTCCTGTTCAATGAGGAAAGGGATCTGGAAACCAAGATCTGAGTGGCAGGTGTGCTCCTGGCTGTGGGGCTGTCACTGCTTGCAGACCCCTCCCTTTTCTAAAGATTTATTTATTATTTGAGAGGTAGAGTTACAGACAGAGGGGGAGAGAGGGAGAGGGAGAGGGAGGTCTTTGATCTGCTGGTTCACTCCCCACATGGCCACAAGGGCTGGAGCCGGGCAGATCTGAAGCCAGGAGCCAGGAGCTTCTTCCGGGTCTCCTATGTGGGTGCGGGGGTAGTTCGTTCGGTTGGAAGAGGAGCAGCCGGGACTTGAACTGGTGTCCATATGGGATGCCAGCACTACAGGCAGAGGCTTAGCCCACGACGCCACAGGGCTGGCCCCCTGCCAGCTCCTTTTAGAAGAGCTGATACACACAGATCCCTGCGTAATAGGCACAAGTACACGTGCACACATGCTGTTAAACTGGGCGTTCAGGGCCCCCAGCCCCAGCACGTCGCTGGCCAGATCCTCTGTGCTCCTGGCTGAGCCTTAGATCCGCAGTGCACCTGGGATGATTTTGGTGGCTGGTGTGCGGCGCGGGTCTCAGCCTTCCTCTCCGCCTCCCCTGGGTTAACCAGTTGTCCCAGCACCGAGCTTGAATAAGCACTTTTCATCTTCACAGGAAGTCAGGACCGTTGCTTACGTTCACAGGTGGGAAACTGAGGCTCAGGGAGACAGAGTACTTTATTCAAGGTCGCAGAGCCGCCAAAGGGCAGAATCAGGATTTGACCCAGGTTAACTTGATTCTGAAGCCAGAGCTTTTCACCCTTGCCATGGACGCTGAATTTTCCCATCTGCACATGGGCGGTATAAAGGCTGTGGCCATCAGGCCCTTGCAGAACTGACACGGTGGGTGTGTGGGCTTGTGCCAGGAGGACGTGGGGCATGGGCAGTGGACAGACACTGCACGCGACAGGGGCATGCGTGCTTTGTAAGCAGCGGGGCCACTGGGCCACAGTGCGCACCTTCACCCAGGCAGGTACGGGCATGCAGGGAAGGTAAGGGACTGCAGGGCCAGGGCTCTCCTGCCTGTGGGCGGCTGCTCCCGGATCCTGAGCTGAGGCGGCTGCTAGGCCAGTGTCTGTCCGCACCTGGCACTTGGCCTGGTGACAGGAAACAGAGGCTAGAGGTTGGCATGACAACCAGGGCACAGCTCACTTGCTGGGGCTCCTGCAGGAGAGAGATTAGGAGCAGCAGGGGCCCACAGGGGTGACCTGGCTCTCAGCTCCGTGGCAGGGCGCCTAAGAGAGCTGAGCAGCCAGGACAGCCGTGTCTGGCCCAGCGCTTTGCAGGCTGGGGGTGGGAGAGGAGCCGTCTTACACTCACGGGAGGGGTTGGGGGCCACGGGGCACGGACTCGGCACCACAGCTGGCCGCCTCTGAGCCTGAGCCCCGCCCCTCGCTGCGTCCTGGCTGAGGGCAGGCTCTTGCTTGCGTGTCAGCACGTTGGGAACCCGAGCAGTGAGAGCATCGCCTGGGAAGGAAGTGTCCGTCTCCGGGTCCCCGTTCCCAGCACCGCCTCGCCACCGCTGTCAGTTCTCGGGCGGCTCTCGCCGTCCACCGGCGTGGGGCCGGTGGTCCTCCCACCTCGGCCCAGATTCTGGCCACTGTCCTGGGGCAGTGTCCCTCTGCAACCTGCCGCCCGCCCCCCGGGGCAGCCCCTCCACGGTGTGCTTGCTGTCTGGTCCTCTGTGAACTTTGCGCTGTGCAGGCCCAGCTCCGAACCCTCGCTCTTCAGCTGTGGACACGCACTCCGCTGGAGGCGGAGTGGACCGTGGGAGTGTGTCTTTGCGTCCCTGCCCCTCCACGCCCCCCCCCACCCCCGGCCAAGCTCACAGCTCTCCGGCCGGCCCCAGGGCTGGCCAGAGCCGCCTGCCTGGGCCTGAACAGGGGGCTCTTTCTGAACCCGTAGGAGGTGTTCCGGCAGCACCGGGGCCTGCAGCTGCTGGCCCTGGTGGAGGAGGTGCTGCCACGTCACGGCAGCGGCCACCACGGGGACTGGCACATCTCCCTGAGCAAGCCCAGCGAGAAGGAGCAGCACCTTCTGATGACGCTGGTGGGCGAGCAGGGTGAGCGCGGGCCGGCGGGCGCGTCGCCGATGAGGCCTGGACACTGGGTCCCCACGATGGCAGGCCTCTCTGCGTTAGGGTTCAAGGCGTACCAGCAAGCGTGGGCCCTGAGGAGAGGGGCAGGGGCTAGGTGGTTCCAGCACGGTGTGCGACACGCAGGCCCTGCCACCGTAACTGGAGGGGGCCTGTCCCGGGAAGCAGGTCGCGGTGCCGCGAGGATGTGTGTGGTCATCCGCAAAGCGCGGCGAACGCGGCCCAGGCCAGCTGCGGGGGAGGCGCCGGGCTGACGGCGGCGTTCCTTGCCCTCAGGGGTGGTGCCCACGCAAGATGTCCTTTCCATGCTGGGCGACATCCGCAGGAGGCTGGAGGAGGTAAGGACGCAGGGACTCGGCCCCTCTGTGCCTGGGGGACAGCAGGCCTCCCTGGGGACGCGGCTGCCCACGCGTGCAGTTCAGAGGAGCAAAGCCAGGGCCCTGCTCTGGGCAGGCTCATGGCCGGCCTTCCGGAGACGCTGCCTGGAGCGCAGGGAACATGCGGAAGTTCCCCGACGGTGCAGCGCGTGTGGCAGCCGTGAGGGGAGGGGTCAGGAGGGGGCAGCTGCAGGGGCATGAGGGGGGAGTGGGAGTTGGCTGGGTGGACAGTGGGGGACAGCACGATGGCTCCAGCAACACGAGAGCTCTCCAGGCCCGGACGGGGTGCCACAGCCACGCCTTCCCGGACGGCAGTCTGCAGGTCCAGGCCAGCTAGGAGGAGACAGCTGGGCACCCCCCTGAGCCGGCGCACAGGCTTGGTGGGGAGGGGCGGAGGCCCGGTCTTCCTGCTCAGATCCCACCTTCCCTGGAGGGCAGAACCTTCCACACCTCCACCGAAATGGCCTCAGTGCGCTGGGGCTCCCCGTGCCTTGCTGTCTGTCCCCGTCACTGTCCCCGTCACTCAGGGCTCTGCGGTATTTGACAGGCAGGATGTGTGTGTGTCACTGCGGGCCGCCTCCTTATCTGTGCCACCCAGGGGCGCCGTGTGTTTTCCTGCCTACTCTATGCTGAGTTCTCTCGCGTAGTACTAGCCGCCACCCCCTGGGGCCCGAGGGCTAAAGAAGCCGCCTGCCCAGCACTGCGGGTGTCTGCGGAGCTGGCTGGGGCAGGGGTCTTTTCACGCAAGGCAGAGCTTGGGTGGGAGACAGTGGCGTGAGCACCTGTCCAGATGGAGTCCGACAAGCAGACTGGGGTGGCAAGGTTAGGGTTTAATGGAGAGAACACACCTGGCAGGCAAGGGGCACCTAAGCAGACATGAGAGCTGGCACACAGCTGACAGCCCTGGCCGGTGGCTCGGGAGGACTGGGGCTTGTGAGGGAGTGGAGTGGGGGCCAGGTGTTCCTGCCGTTTCACCCCCCCCAATCCCCACCCTCTCCTCCTGGATGAAGGGATTGCTTGGCTATGCAACAGGTAAAGCTGCTTGTAGGTTTAATTGCCCAGTTACCCGCCTGGTAGCCCGCCCAGCGCCGGGCCTCCCTGGGGAAGGCCGGGACCCCCTGTGAAGCTACCAGGGTCCAGGCAGGACTTTGCTGAGAGCTGCTTCCCTCCCTTCCATGGACGCTGTTTCCTTCGGCCGCTCTCACACACGGGCTGACTTCTGTCTTCCCACGTAACACTGGTGCTCCCGCTTCCGGTGAGAGCCGACCCAGAGCGGCTAGGTGGCCGCTGGAGGCCGCACAGCTCGTGGGCTGCAGAGCCGGGCTTTGGGGCAGGCCCGAGTGGGAGCCTGGGTGTTCACCAGCTGCTGTGCTGCCTGGAGGGCCACTGCGAGCCCTTCCAGGTCTGAGATTCTGGGTTCCTGAGCACAGGGGAGGGGCGGGGCTGCTGGCCTTGCCCTTCGCACACAGACCTGCCTGCCCTGGGCACTGCATTCAGGCCAGCGGGCCAGAAGGCAGCACACGGCGGGCAGGCGAGTCCAGCTGCGAAGACGGATGTCTGGAAACGTCCTGGGAGCGAGCAGGCATCTCATGGAGAGGGCGCGAGAGCTGCGGCCTGGGACCCTGTGGGGAGGGCAGGCCCGGCAGGAGCACCTGCGGTGTGGGAGGGCTGACCGGCTCCTGGAGGAGGGAGGCAGTGGGGAGCCAGGTGTGGCCCCTGAAATGGGCTGCACCAGCCTCCCTGCACCTTCCCTGGCGATGAGGGGCTGGCCGGCGCCCCGTGGCCGTGACCGTGCCCACACCCGAGGTGAGCACTGTGCTGCAGGCCAAGCCGTGTGTGGGGAGGGGAGGCTGGGCATGGGGCCTCAGACTGCAAGCCCTGGTGAGCACGGGCGCCCGGAGCGTGCCAGCGGCTTCCCAAAGCCTCAGCTGCGGCACCTGGCCCCTCCCACCCCCAGATTGGCATCCAGAACTATTCCACCACGAGCAGCTGCCAGGCACGGGCCAGCCAGGTGCGCAGTGACTACGGGACGCTCTTTGTGGTGCTGGTGGTCATCGGCGCCATCTGCCTCCTCATCATCGCGCTCGGGCTGCTCTACAACTGCTGGCAGCGCCGCCTGCCCAAGCTCAAGCACGTGGTGAGCGTCCGCGCGCGCCGGAGGGGGGCGGGAGGCCAGGATGCCGGGAGAGCCAGCCAGTTCACGGAGATGATGCTCAGCTGTGTGGGGCCGCCCTCAGGGCCAGCAGCGGAGGTCTGGGAGCGGCCCCCGCGGGGTTGGTTGGTGCCAGGGATCGAGGAGAGGCCCGGCAGCCTGGCGGCTTCTCCAGAGAGAGCAGGGACACTGGCCGCACCCCCCCCCCCCCCATCTCGGTCTTTGGTTCTCCGCGTCTCTAACGGGTTGCTGGGAGGGAGCCGGTGATGCTGGGGACGCCAGAGGGCTGCTCTGCGCACGGGCCGGCCAAGCTGGGAGGACACCAGGGCCTACCCCAGCAGCGGCCGTCCCCAGCAGCCTCTCGCCCCGCCGCAGTCGCACGGCGAGGAGCTGCGCTTCGTGGAGAGCGGCTGCCACGACAACCCCACGCTGGACGTGGCCAGCGACAGCCAGTCGGAGATGCAGGAGAAGCCGGCCAGCCTCAACGGCGGCGCCACCGTCAACGGCCCGGGCAGCTGGAGCGCGCTCATGGGGGGCAAGCGGGACCCCGAGGACTCGGACGTGTTCGAGGAGGACACGCACCTGTGAGCGTGGCCGCGTGGGGCGGACTCGGAAGTGGACCGCAGCCGCCCTGCGGCCCCAGCCTGGCTGTCGGCGCGGGGCTTCTCCTCGCCTCCCCGACTTCACCGAGCGCTCTTGGCACAGCTCACCCCACCTCCCGCCCCCGGAGCGGGTCTCGGACCCGGCCCCCGGCCCCCTGCGGCAGCCGCTCGGAGCGGCTCCGCTTCCCGGCCCCGTGAGCCCCGGCACCGCGGGCGGCGGGCCGGCGCTCCCCGCGCCCCGGGACTCCATTAAACCCTCCCGGAGACCCGCCGGGGCCAGCCCGTCCGCCTGCCCGACTCGTTCTTACTTCCGGGGTGGGGGCGCGGCCGGGCGGGGCGGGCGGGGCGGGCGGTCCTCCGGGCGCCAGGCGCCGCTGCCGAGCGAGCGGGGCGGGCCGGCCGCGAGTGTTTACATCCGGCCGGAGCTCGCGTCGCCGCCGCTCCGAGCCTCCCGTGCCATGGATACCAGCGACCTGTTCGCCAGCTGCAGGAAGGGGGATGTGGGCCGAGTGCGGTGAGAGCCCCGCGGGGCGGGGGCGCGGGCGCGAGCGGGCGGGGGGCGCCCTCCGAGTGTCTCGGCTGCGCAGCCGCGGGGTGGGGGAGGGCGGCCGCGCGTCGGGCCGCGGCTGCGGGGACCACCCGCCGGAGCGGGAGCGAGCGCGGGGGCGCCGGGGCGGCGGAGCCCCTGGAGGCGGAGGCTGCTCCGCAGAGCCCCCGCAGAGGTGGGCGGGGAGAGGAGCCGCTGCTCGGACGGCGGGCGTGGCGGGGCCGGCCTGGGGCTCCGACCCGGAGCGCGGTATCGCCCCATCCCCCGAGGCTCGGGAGCTCCTGGTGCGCCTGGGGGAACTGGCCAGGGGGACGGGTCTCCACGGCCTGGGCCCGCCCAGCTGGGGCCTGGGGCGCCTCTTGCTTGGCTCTTCGCGCTCCTCTCTGTCTTCCTAACTCTTCGTCTCCCATTCCCTGGTCCTTACCCCCAGGAAGCCTCAGCTTCCTCAGTGTCAGGTGCCTCCCAAGAGTTGGGGGAAGACTCCCACCCCGCCTCCCCTGCTAGCTCAGTCTGGCCCCATCCCCCACCCCTGCACTCCTGGCTGCCTCCACACCAGCCACGGCCCCAGCCCCTGCTCCACTGCCCGGCGTCTCACCTTGCGCGTCGCGTCGGCTGCCTCATCCTGTGACCTGTACCTTCTCGAGTGTCTCCCCCTCTGCTGGTGCCGTCCACACACCGAGGTGCCCACAGCAGGGCCAGCTTTTGGCCCAGCAACCGGGCAGGAGGAGCCCCGGCACCTCTCTGGAATGCCAGAAGAGCCGTGTCCTGGCCGCCGCCGCCCAGCCCAGCCCCGGCTCCGGAGCCCATCACCGCGCTGACTCGCTGTTGTCCACGCTGCTTTTCCGTGTGGGCCTGGCTGTGCAGCTGCACCCCTGTGTGCCCTGGGCCGCAGACACCTTTCCTGCTGGGTCCTCCCTCACCCGGGAGGCCCCCAGCTAGGAGGGGGTTCCTCCCCACCCCAGCCTCACGCACAGCTCTGACCTGGGCTCTGGGTTCCTTCCCTCCCAGGTACCTGCTGGAACAGCGCGATGTGGAGGTGAACGTGCGGGACAAGTGGGACAGCACGCCCCTGTGAGTGCCCGGCAGCGGGTGGGCAGGGTGGCCAGGGGGCGCTTCGCGGCTGATGGCTGCCTCCCGGCCCTGCCTCCCCAGGTACTACGCCTGCCTGTGTGGGCACGAAGAGCTGGTACTCTACCTCCTGGCCAACGGTGAGGAGAGGTCGGGGGCGTGGCCAGTGGCTGTGCCCGTGCCTCTGTGTGTGTGTCCGGGGGCCTGGCATAGGTTTGCAGACACCCCGACGTGTGATCCGCACGTACTTTCGCACCCTGCCGGTTCCTCTGCCTGCTTCACCGGCCCTGGCCTGGGCGCCTTACCCTTAGGGCTTCCGGCTGCTCCTCCTGCCCCACCTGCAGTGCGTTCTCGGTGCTGGAGTCTGTAGGATCTCATTAGCGCTTGGGATTGAGCCAGAGGCTTTGGCAGGCTGTGCCAGACCCCGCCCCCAAACACACACTCCTCCCCACTGCGGCTGGACCTCCCTGGCCTCTCCCGGCTGCTCATACAGCCCCACTGGCTGCCCCTGGTGGCCCTGGGCCTGCCCCAGGGCCTTTGTCCTGTCCCCGCTGCTGTTCCCCAAGTCTACAGTGCCGCGCGCTCACTTCATTTGCGTCTCTGCACTCTGTCACCTCCACGGTGACCTTCCATGACCTCCCCGAGTGACAGCCACCAGCACTGTCGCCGTTCCCCGGCTGTTTTCCTCAGTAGGCCTCCCCGCCTGCATCAGCACCCTCTGAAGGCAGCCACCCCTGCCGACAGAGCCCGGCTGGCGGGGCGGGGTGGGGCCTGGCTCGGCTCCACGCGGGCTGTAGCACGTGCAGAGTGTGTACAGGTGTGAGTGTACGTGGACTCTCTGTGTGGGGCCTTGCCGTGGAGGATGCTGGGGTCACGCTGGGTCCGGGGTGTTTTGGGGGGGTTTCCGTGTGTGTGGAGGAGGCTCAAGGGGATTAAGGTCTCCCCTGCCGCCCCCAGGAGCCCGCTGTGAGGCCAACACCTTCGACGGGGAGCGCTGCCTCTACGGGGCGCTGAGCGACGCCATCCGCCGGGCTCTGCGCGACTACAAGCAGGTCACCGCCTCCTGCAGGCGCCGGGATTACTATGACGACTTCTTGCAACGGTGAGCAGCCAGGGGCGGGCCCCTGAGCACGCACCCTAGCGGGGGGCCATGGTCCCTACCCACTGCTCTCCCGTCCCCAGGCTCCTGGAGCAGGGCATCCACAGCGACGTGGTCTTCGTGGTCCACGGGAAGTCCTTCAGGGTGCACCGCTGTGTCCTGGGGGCCCGCAGCGCCTACTTCGCCAACATGCTGGACACCAAGTGGAAGGGCAAGAGCGTCGTGGTCCTCAGGCACCCGCTGGTGCGGTCCTCGGGGTGCTGGGGCGTGGCGGCCCGCCCGGGGCGGCCGGAGCTGGTGCTGGGCTCCTGCCGGGCTCCTGCCCTGACCGGCCCTCCTGGCTGTCTCTGCCCACAGATCAACCCCGTGGCATTTGGGGCCCTGCTGCAGTACCTGTATACAGGTGACCGCCTGTGCCTGGGCTCGGGGCGGGGGCAGGCTGCCTTTCTGGAGGCCTAGGTGGTGCTGAGCTGGCCCTGGACAGCTGGACACTGGGTCGTGCCCATGCCAGCGTGCGGCCGGCCGCCTCCAGGGTTGGGTGGTGGGACGCCGGGCTGGTGGGAGCCTGGGGGGGGCCCTCACGCCCTGCCCCCACTCACTCGGCACCCAGGCCGCCTGGACATCGGCGTGGAACACGTCAGTGACTGCGAGCGCCTGGCCAAGCAGTGCCAGCTGTGGGACCTGCTCAGTGACCTGGAGGCCAAGTGCGAAAAGGTCTCCGAGTTTGGTGGGTCGGGCTTCGGGGCTGCAGGCACTCCGCTGGGCACGGGCGGGGCCGGCCTGGCTCCCTGAAGCTGCTCCCTCCCTGTAGTGGCGTCCAAGCCCGGCACGTGTGTGAAGGTGCTGACCATCGAGCCGCCCCCAGCAGACCAGCGGCTGCGGGAGGACCTGGCTCTGCTGGCCGACTGTGCCCTGCCCCCTGAGCTGCGAGTAAGTGCGGGGCTAGTGGGGCGGGGGATGCGGTGGAAAGCCCGCCCGTACTCAGGGTCCGTTCCTTGTGTGACCCCAGGCCAGGCCCTTGCCCTCTGTGAGCAGCTGCGCTCTGACGCCTCTCCTTTACCCAGGGCGATCTCGGGGAGCTGCCCTTCCCCTGCCCCGACGGCTTCAACAGCTGCCCGGACGTGTGCTTCCGCGTGGCCGATTGCAGCTTCCTCTGCCACAAGGTGCCGGGCCCGTCTCTCCTGTCCCCCAGCCCCTGCCCTGAGCCCCGGGCCCTTCACGAACCCCAGCCTCCCCCAGGCCTTCTTCTGCGGCCGCAGTGACTACTTCCGGGCCCTGCTGGACGACCACTTCCGAGAGAGCGAGGAGCCGGTGGCCCCCGGGAGCCCCGCGGTGGTCACGCTGCACGGCGTCTCGCCCGACACCTTCACCCACGTGCTCTACTACGTGTACAGCGACCACACCGAGGTGCGCCGCGGGCGGGGGCAGCGCCGCTCTCCACCTTGGGCAGGGAGTTTCATTTGCTTGATGGGCAAAGTTGCAGAGAGATTTTCCTGTCTGCTTGTTCATTCCCGAGCTGGCCTCAAGGAGCAGGGTGTGGCCAGGCTGAACGCCATCTGGGTCTCTGCTCTGTGAGCAGGGGCCCGTGCACTTGGGCCATCTTCCACTGCTTTCATAGGGCAGAGGTGCAAGTCCACCAGCCGGGACTCGAACCTATGCCCATACAGCATGGCCTGCGCCTGGTCTAGGCCATAGCTTGACCCAGTCCTGGAGAGACAGGCTGGAGGAGCACCTTGTGCTTTGTTTTTTTAAAGAGCTTTATTTTTTTTTTTGAAAGTGAGAGTTACACAGAGAGGAGACACGTCTTCCATCTGCTAGTTCACTCCCCAGTGGGCTGCAACGGCCGGAGCTCCTTCCAGGAGCTTCCTGTGGGTCTCCCACGTGGGTGCAAGGGTCCAAGGACTTGGGCCATCTTCTGCTATCCCAGGCCATAGCCGAGCGCTGGATCGGAAGAGGAGCAGCTGGGTCTCGAACGGGTGCCCATCTGGAATACCGGCACTGCAGGCGGGGGCTTTACCAGCTACGCCACAGTTCTGCCCCTCCCCCCTTTTGCATTTTTGTTTCAGACAGCAGGGACCCTGGGAGGTGGTTCCAGTTCAGGAAGGAGTGTCAGAGTCTGGGCAGTATCTCAGAGTCCCTGCCTCTCGATAGGGACCGGGCTGGGGACAGTAACCTCAGAGTTCCCTCAGGGAGCCCCGCCCCTCCTTCCAGCTGCCCTCACGCACCTGCATCACCCTGTGGGGATGCAGACCCCAGACAGGGGGCTAGCAGGCTATGTCCACAGGGCAGGGGCTTGCTAAGGACCCAGGCTGTCCCTTCCCTCCGGGGCTCCGCCCACAAACTTTCTCTGGAGGTAAACAGTGTGGGTTCCCACGGCTGCTCCTCTGGGGGCAGGGCTGTGTTTTCCTATAAAGCTCTGTTTCCGAAGCCTGACTGCCATTGCCCAACGCTGCCCGGGGCACAGTCCTGGGGGGTGGGGAGGGCATGACAGGCCAGCTCGGTCGGGTGCTAGCACCTAGGGAACGGGCAGGGGGAAGTGGCAGTGCCCCACCCCCCACTGCACCCACTCTTG